TCTATCTATCTATCTATCTATCTGTCTATCTATCTATCTATCTATCTGTCTATCTATCTATCTATCTATCTGTCTATCTATCTATCTATCTATCTATTTCATGTTAAAAGACATAATGTTGAAATACATTAAAATTGTATTAACGTGCATATGCATAAATTACATTTGAGTATATCTATTGAATGAAATAATCGTTATCTTGCAATTGCAAATCTTAGGATAAAATTATGATCTAAAATCGTTCAAACTAATTTCCTCAGGCTGGATCTTATGGGTCGCGGACCTCGGCTCCCTCGTTCTCATTATCGAAACGACCAGATCATTTCGTGCAGAAATTCCCGGACAGATGGTCATGAGAAATGTATGACGTGCCGTTCGATAAGAGCGATTGTTCCGACCACAACATCGGCACAAGAGGGGTCACATTTACTGGCCAAAACGGCGCTAAGGGAGCAAACCTTGACACCCAGCTACCCCAGTAATTCCCCTTGTCCCCCCTCTTGTGTGTAAAGCTCCCATTGGATGGTCATCTCTTATCTCCCCTTGCCAGGACTATCGCGGATGTTTGGCATGCCAGCGATTTTGGTGGAGTTGAAACAAATGAGAGGATTGGCATGGCGTGGTACATTCATGTGGTATGGGTCAAACTACCCTTTCAACATTGAAAATGATTGGTTATTTAAGATGCGACTTCTCCCAAATGCAACGTCCATCTCAGATGGGACCTAGTGTGCTAAGAGTTTAACGACCTCTTCAGCTCTGAAAAGTTGTATAAAAAGCTGGTCCCTTCGGATTTTACGTCTATCTCAGATAGGACCAAGCCAAGCAAGCTGCATAAGGAGCCTTGGAAACTTCCCTAAACAATCCGGTTTTAAGAAGGCCACTCGAGAGAACTCGAACCGGGGTCATATTGCTCTGTAGTTCAGTTTGATACCAACCGAGTTAATAGCGCCCACCACAAACGGGTAAAGCATGCTTTTAAGACTTCGTTGTCTTCACTTATCCTTTTTTTAAAGCATTAGTAAGCCATTTGTTAGTCTCATCATATGATACAGTATTGGCTAAACGCTGCTTTCAACACTTTAAGGTTGTAAGTGAGGCTCACAAACTCATTGCTCATCTCCGACAACGCTGACGTAAGAGGCTGGGAAGCTTCGAAAATTTTCTTCAAACAAACAACAATTTAAAAAAATATTTAAAAAACGAAAGAGAGCCTCCCCCTCCTTTTTGCATTCTTTTTAAAAGGCCAAGCAGAACGACTGAACCAAACAGATTCCAGGTCTCTTGGTTTATTTTTAGGAAGAGAAAAAGAGACAAAATGATAGAATAGGGCGATGGGTGAGGGTTGAAACAAAGAGCAACAGGTGAGTTGGTTTAATGATGGATGCCAAAGTACCAACTGTATGCAAATTATCAAAACTTCATTACTTTGAATAAGAGTTCTCAATTTGTCTCGGTGGGTCGTGGGCTCACTTCTTCACAGCTTCCGCGCCATCGTCTCCGCTTCTGAATTAAGAAGGTGTCAGAACTTAATTCACCGTTTCATTAATATTCCATTGTTTCATTTGTCTCGTTTGAACCACAAGTCGTCTGCACGAGTACGTCCTTCTGGTAATATGACTTTGAAGGCGCATGAGTTATAGATAATCACACCAAGGTACTTGTGATCTCAAAGAGGAAGGAAGTTGTTGAAAGCTAACGTTTTCAAGAAAAAGAAAGGGGAGGAAAGAAAAAAAAAGGGCAATTTGAGGACACTCTTCAAACTTTCGTGCTTTTAAGGACGCAACGATAAAGAAGGTAAGCTTTCAACAGTCGTACCCTTGAGTTTGATTAGGCTGCTGAGCTTAATCAAAGGCTGAAAGTTATATTCGTGGGTTTACTTAGTTTGCCTTTCCTATGAAGTAAATTAAAATTTTATGATGCGTCTTAAAGAGATATTATGTTGTGCTTTGAAAACCGGATCTCAAAATTTATTTTTCTATTTTAGGTAATTGAGCAAGCAATGAAGATGAAAGCGCACTATAAGTGGACGCCAGTGGTAAAATGCTATGCACTAGCAAATGGCGTGCACGGAAGAGGTTCATCACCTGTTACTGTTAGACAGAACAGTTGTGACTTTTGAAATCGTTTTGACTAGATGAAGTTGTCAAATTATGTGTGGCATCGTGGTGAGATTGTCGTTTTTCTTGTTGTTGTTGTTGTTTTGTTGTTATTGCTAGTGTTGCTGTTACTGTTGCAGTTGCTCTTTTTGTTGTTGTTGTTGTTGTTGTTGTTGTTTTTATTGTCATAGTTATTGTTGTTGTTGTTGTTTTACTTTTATGGCTGTTTTGTTGTTTGTTTGGTTGCTGCTGTATTTTTACTTTTAACATTTTAGGTCCCTTAAAAGACATATTATTTCTGTGTGGAATTGTACTGGAAAAAGTTAATCTCAGGCTCTAAAAAAAAGTGAACTTGCTGTTACAAGGACACTTACTCAAGCTTTGGAAGTCACCTAACTTTGGCGGTCATTTTCTCACTGATTTCACCCCTGACACCAGGCGACCCCCACCTCGTTCAGTTGCAAATACCTTGACTTTTGTTCAGGACAGAATATAGGTGGGTAATTATTTTTCTTCAAAGGCAAGACAAATAAACAGGCATTAACCCTATCCGTGCGCCCTGAGGTCATTTTGTACCCCCGGGGTTGTATTCTTCACATTAATTTAGAATACCTCTAGTGCGAAGATCTGTTTGAAACTTTCAGTATTTCTCAAAAAATCGTTCTGACAGACTGATGTGCAAAGCGTGCTGATCGGATTAACGAGTAAATTACTCTTCGGAAAGTGGGGGCACAGAGTTCCCCACGTCGTATGGATACGATATAGTAAAACACAACGTACGGATAGGATTAAGATTACACCAATAACACCACATGCCCCAAGACTGACGGGCACCTGATACCACCGTGTCGTGACACAAACGTCCGGACTTGACCCAATCGAGAGTTGATGTCTTTATACACAACACAAACGTCCGAACTTGACACAATCGAGAGTTGATGTCTTTATACACAACACAAACGTCCGAACTTGACACAATCGAGAGTTGATGTCTTTATACACAACACAAACGTCCGAACTTG